CTGCTTAATTGATGATGGGTTAACAAGGAAATAGCCCATGCAGCCCATGAAATAGCTTATGAGTCAATTGTCTAATAACTTTTGGTCCCTTAAAAAAGAGTCTGCACGTTAGGCCCATATTGAATTTATAACTGTATCTTGAAAATGTTTTGGTAAACAGCTAAAATAACAAAACTTCAGTGTCCAAATAAATATGGACCTAACTGTATTTCATACATTTGGTCAACCCAATTGATAATATCTAAAATCTTCATTCCCAGTGTATTAACTATTTGTTTTGTGGAAAACAAAGTTATCCTCAACCTTTAGGCTTTGTTCCAAGAACAGCAATTAAATATCAGTAGGCTTATTTGTTTGATTTAGCTTTTTTGCAATGCCAAAATTGTTTTTTGCCCTTAGTTGAAAAAGAAAATATTCCTTAACGGTCTACATGGCTAATGAAAATGGATATTCCACTAATATTCCTGTTTACATGCGGATGTGCATACTTAACTGATTAACCTAACTGTTAATGACGTACTGTACGTCCTATGTCCCTCCGTTTCCCTCTCTCTTTTTCTTTCCCTTTCCCTCTTTTTCAAACTGCAGTCATGTTGTTCCCATGGTAAAAGTGGAACAGCTAGAGCTTTTTGAGCCATTTTGCCTCTTTGTGTCGCATTTGTTACACACCTTTGCACATATATAATCCAAGTCTTTCATAATGTAAAGAAATGCTCCTAAAACCTGAATAATATCAGTATGTATTGATACGTGTCTCAATCTGAAAATGTTCCATTCTGAATGAATGCTGATTAGGAATATCAAATGGAATATTCTGTTTGCATGACCCTTATCAAATCAGAGTATTGTCTTATTCAGAGTAATAGTGCAAAATGAATGTACATTTAGACAGTGTTCCATGTTTCTGGGGGATGAGCAGGTAGAGCTGGACTGCCTCTGCTAAACTCCAAACCTTGTTAATTGTCTTTAAACAGCAGCATCTCTCTCTGTCTGTCAGTGTGGCAGTGAATACAGCTGATGCTGCGGTATCTCAGACAGGAATAAATTACACTCTTTTTTTTCACCTCCTCTTCCCTTTTCTGTCTCACTCTGCTCTAAATCAGCTTCCTCTCCTGTCTCCATTCCTCTCTCCTTCAGAGGACTTCACTGTTAAAACCAGCAGTTGGTCAGTGAGCCTGCTGTGATCTCTGTTCTTACTTGCCATCCATGACCCAACTCTGATTAGAACTTTGTATGTAATTTCAGGGTGTTTTGAGTCTGAGTTGGTTGATCCTGGAAATAGAAGTTTTACTGATTCCATACTAATTGTTTGTTTTCCTGTTGATGGCATACTGTGAAGGTACTTATAGTCAAAGGAAAGGTTTCCTGTTGCTATAAGAATAGTCTAGCCAAGTTTATCTCAAGAAATTATTGCCACTGTTTTTCTTTCTTGCCTTAGTTATATACTCAAAAAGTTAACTTTTTGTTGTCAACTTAAAAACAAGGCTGTTGCCGAGGTTCAGTAGTCTCTCTCTGCTCCCATTACCCTCAGGAAATGGACCTTGCCGGGCTATGAAGAGCAGTTTATTGAGAGGCTTCTGTCCTAAGCAAATCTCATTCCTGCTGCGCTCTCGCAGAGTTGGGTTTGTGCCACTGCCCTCCGGTGATTATCTTGTTTGGGTGTCTATGACACAGTAAATGAAGGCATTATTGGTGGGACAGTGGAGCTTCTTATACTGAAACAGATCCAGTTTCTGTTTCCTCAGTCAGGGATGTGTGGTGGCTGCAAATAAACACAGTGGGGTGGTTCCAAGAATTCCAAGTAAAACAAAGCCGTGAAGTGCTGCTCATATTTAATCAACATTTTACATTCGTGCCTGAAGCCTAAACGTACTGATACCTGAAAAAGTAATGTTATTCCCATAAGCCTCAGTTGTGCTTGTATGTTTAGTGCTAATGTGCAAATATAAGCATGTTAAAGTAAGATGGTAAAATCCTACCCGACATCAGCATGTATCCACCATAGATACTGAACCCCAAATTGCTCCCGATGCATAGCATCGGTGTGTGAATGTGTATGAATGAGTTTATGAATGAGTTAGTTTCTGTTCGATCGATGGGCTTTGCATCGCTGTGGTGAATGTGTGTGAAAGGGGTGAATGTGGCACTAGTGTAAGAGCGGGCTTTGATTGGTCGGGACAGACTAGGAAAGGCGTTTATACAAGTACAGGTCGCATTTACCATTTAGCCAAACTGAGAACACACGCTCCCCTCCCTCATCCCAGCTGGGTCGATGACCTATCTGATATCGGCAGACGCAGTTTGTGAGATTAAAGAACTGTGTGTCTGACCGTCTGATTAGTAACATCGGGCACCCAGGGAACTGTACTGTCCTGCTTTCTTCCTTCACCGAACTACAGTGCAGACTTTAAGTACTGGCACTGAGTCGTGTCATGCTGCAAAATACTCCTGATGACAGCGGCTATTGTAGGGTTCTGGAGGGCCAGAGGGGAGGCTGAAGTACCAGGGACCTGGTTGACCGCTTTTCCACGTGGTGTGGTGAGAACCACCTGCCAGCTGAATGTGGCAAAAGACAAAGGAGATGGTTGGGGACTTCCCCAGGAGAACAGGCCCCTGACCTCTCCTGTCCAGCATCGGTGGGTCCAGATGTGGATATGGTGTCGGCGTATAAGTATTGGGGTCACACTGGACAACCAAACTCGGACTGGTCACTATACTGCAGAGGCCATCTACAAGAAGGGCATGAGCTGCGGCTTTACTTCCTTGGGAGGCGTCAGGTCCTAATGTCTGGCAACAAGGATGTTGCAGGATGTTTTTATCAGTCCTGTTGTGGCCGAGCACCATCCTTCTTTGCTGCGGTGTCTGGGGTGCGGGCAATGCAAGGCAAAGGACGCCCAACCGACTGA